CTCGCCGGCGAGGGGGCTAGCCGGGCTAGCGCCGCCTCACGGTGCCAACGCCTGGGATACGGATCGCGTCCAACTTAACACTCATCGCAACCTGAATCAGAACCAATCCTTGGTCCCTCCGTCTCACAATTTAGTCAGTGGACATAATCGTTCGCAAAATTCGGACTGCAAGAACAAGGTTCGCATTATATTCTGGATACTTTATAAGTTGAATCGTGCTATCTTATCAATTTTATCTTTGCCTCGTACTATTCTCAGTAAGTCAATCGCTCATTTATTGGCCTCGAGATCGTCACGCTTCTTGTATCGTTATAGAAATATTAAATATCAAGAATTACGTATTATTCTTAAAACAGTAAATTCATATTTTTTTAATTTAAATTTTCTTTATTTTTATACATTATTAATATTTTTTAACAATAGACATATAACTTTTTTAGGAGTACATTACAGTTTAATTTTATATTTTAATAATATTCTTAGGATGAGAAAGATTGTTCAGAAGATAAACTACAAAAGTGTGGATGTCAAAAACGTGCCTGTACATCAACCTGTGAAGTTAAAATGGAAACTCTTTCGCCTGCTGAAAAGTTGACAGTGACAACCTGTCCAAGTAGTAAATTTCACAATTTTAAGTTGGAAAATAATAATGTGAAGTGTGAATCTTGCAGTGTGGAAATAGGCAATAATTTGTCCTGTGTTGCAAATTGTAACGTTAAGTGTGAATCAGAATACAAATGTGATATCATGAAATGTGAACAGTGTATGAAAGAGGGGCAGATGGTCATTTTAGAGATTGACAAAGATTCAGGTATATTACTTGATGATAAATTGGATGCAGATCCTGATGTTAAGGAAGAATTAAGTGATGTTGCTGCAGTAGATAGTGAGAATTGGAAAAAACCAGATTATGAACCAACAGTGCAAGAAACTATTGAAGAGACTCCAGAAAAAGAAGATACAGAGAAAGCGGAAGTTGAAGAGGAAACTTCTAAATGTCAAAAGGTGTCAAAAAGGAAATTATCTTTGGATAGTTTGTCTGACAGTAGGAAGAAAAGAAAAGTAAGTAAAAGAACCCTTTCTGTTGGCTCTTCACAAGAATTAAATAATAGTGACTTGTCATCCAAAATTTCTGTACCAATTCTACCTTCCGTAAAAAAGATTGATGGTAGTGGCGATGAGTGTGTTTTGAAGAAGAAACAGCCTAAGAAGGATAATCAAAATCAAAAGCGCAAAGTAGAAAATTCAAATTGTTCAGAGAATGTGATGAAAAAATCTAAAACTTCTAAACAGAGTACAACTAACAATATGCCAAGTTGTTTGAAGCATGCTGCTAGCGATAGTTCTATCATGGAAACGATTAATAATGTTATTCAGCATGGATTGCACTTGACACAGAAAAAAGACAGAAAGAGTAAAAACGAAAAACCGGAAAAAGCGAAAAAGGAATCAAATTTGTTATCTGCGGTAAAGAAAGTGGTTAAAAAAGTTGATTTGGTGAAAGAATTAGCATCAGAAAAATTGTCGAAGGTAATCGCAAAAAGTGGTCAATCGAAGAAAACAGAAACACGGACAAAGTCAAAAACCCATGAGAAAAAATGTAAAGGTAAAGGTAAATCTAAAGCCCAGCAAACAAAAGAAAAAGATAATGGTAAGAAGAATGATAATACAACAAAGTCTAGATCAAACGAACCGACTGAGCCTCTAAAAAAGCCAGCTTTGGTGAAAAAGAAGCGAAAGAGCGCGAAAAAAGCACCAATCAAGAAGTCTAACTCTAAAGTTGAAGACTGCTCCATTGGAAGTGAAAATTTGATATTAACCAGAAAAACATTTTTAAAACCTAAATGGAGTAATGGTTGGAGTTGGGAGGGTGATCCATTTGAAGCCAAAGTTTATTTAACGGTATAGTTTTAACAAATAAATTTCTTAGTTTATTATAATTAATTGATATGACTGGCTTATTTGAATATCATTTTGCAGAACGAGGAATCGGCTATACGTCGATGTTACGCGAGTATGAAACATGAAAGTGGTGATGTTTTGAGACCCCGTGACTGTGTTTTATTGAAAAGTGGTCCACGAAAAGCTGATTTGCCATTTGTAGCAAAAATTGCCGCGTTATGGGAAAATCCCGATGATGGTATATTATCTAATATATTCCTTTGTAACATTTAAATAAACATCAATGCGATAAAAATGAATTTGATTACAGGTGAAATGATGTTTTCGTTGCTGTGGTACTACAGACCCGAACATACTGAGCAAGGTAGAACTCAGTACGATACCGAGGATGAAGTGTTTGCTTCAAGGCATCGTGATGCAAATAGTGTGGCTTGTATAGAAGATAAATGTTATATTTTGACATTTAATGAATATTGTCGGTAAGTTCAGAATTTCTTAGATCACTACTAATGACTAAACTTAACAGTACGAACGATGCAGATCGTACCTACGTTTGAGAACCCAAATTTTAAAAATTGAGTGAAAAAAATTCAAACGAGAGCTTGAAATTCTGATGAGCATTTATACTAGGATTATAATGAAAATCTAAATATTCGGATATACAAATACCAGTAGATTCTGGATAGTTGGAATAATTGTACATGCGTTTCTAACGTAGCTGTGTGAGACTTTCGGATTATGAGAGATATCGAAGTTTTAAGATCTCGTTCTGTTTCGATTTTGAAAGTTCAAAATCCTGTATACCCCAGATTAACATAATCCAAGTAATCAATAGAAAAAAATTGTAAATGTTATACAAATTTGAATAAAACTTATAGGTATCGTAAAAATTTACGAAGAATCGAAGAAGGATTAGAGAGTCCCGGTTTAATAGTTCCGCCGGGAGATCAATTATATCCAAGAGAAAATCGTCAGCCCCCAATACCAGTGTCTTCGGATATGGTTCTGTTTTGTCGACGTGTTTACGATTATCGTGGTAAAAAGCTTGTTAAGAATCCCGGATGACTCGACTTTTTATAAAACGCTTTGAACAGGAACCAATGGAATGCACAAAGTTTGCAGTATAAATTGAAACTGGACGTAGGTCTCCCTTCAAGCGTAACCATACATTAATCAATTTTCTTGATTTAAACAGTTAATGAATTCTCATCGATATAATTCTTTTTTTATTTTTTTGGGGACTATATATATAGATTTAGATTTATTTTTTATCGCGATGAAACATTATAATACGAGTATAAAATTTTTTATATTATTTTATGCGATAGTTTTCCAATAGACAGATTTCATTTCGTGATAGCATTACGTTTAAAGAGAGCGAGAAGCACTTAGTTTTTTAGAGTATATAGATTTTTAAATTTGCTAATATAAAGAGAAAAACTGGTTTTTAAACTAATCGTTTTATAAGATAGATAATGCCACTTGTCAATTTTCTACGTTTTTAACTTATGATACAAGAAACGTCATGAATTCTTAATTAATTTCGTTGAGAGATGTTTTTAAAACTTATATTACTAAATCAATGAAATGATACTAGCACAAAAGTATATAGGATCCAGTATATAGCACTAAGAATGGCGTATCCAAATGAATGATCATGCGTTTGCAATCCCGATGATGAATTCCTTGATAATAAAACAATGATGGCTAATGGTCGGAGCGATCGGAGCCCTAAAAAAATCAATCAAAAACAATGAAGTTTAAAAGAAATGCCTAAAACATTTTCATCTTTCGTAAAGAAAAATAAAAAAAAAACGACGCATTCACTCATCAATACGGGTTGTTTTATCGCAAACGAAATACGTTCTTAGAGAGATAATAGAATTTGACAATTTTATAGAGAGAATCATATTTTTTGTGGGATAGTATTTACAACACTTAAATGAATATTTTTCACATTGGAAATACAAATACGTATATTGCTATGTATTACAAGCACCCTTCTTGGAGGGGACCTTCGAACAGTTTCAAGGTAGAAATCAAACGCCTGGGGGTATTTGACCATTTAGTAAAATAATAAATGTATGCGACGTGTTCTTGGACAAGATGAAAGATGAACGCGGAGAGTATTCAGTTTTCTGATACGGAGAAAAGAACACTTCTATTATCTTGCAGTGGGTCGGTCAGACCTATGCATACGCATTATTTTAATACACGTAACTAATGTAAGTTTCAGTTTTTTTAATAATGACCGTTGGTGGCGGAGTGTCGCGAAAATGGAATTGATTCGACTGAAATTTGATTGGGATGGTGAGCTTCAAACAGTTACACAACTCCATTGAGAACTAGGAAATTCTTATTCAAATTTTTCAGACTGCCATATCACGGAAAATACTTAATTATATTTCCTTTGTCGCTGTCTATTTAAAAATATTTATTTCAATTTTATATGAAATTTATTCTTAGTGATGATTGGAGGGAAACAAATTTAATTCTAACATACAGCGAAGAACAAAACTGGACCAATAATATCGCTTTTTCCAGAAAATTATTTAAATTACTGTAGGGTCAGTTGAAACACTTTTTGATAAGTGAATATATTGATGGACCAATTTTTAGGTCAATTCCTCAACAATCAATTTAAATTTTAAAAGACGTTCGGACTTTTTATCCAACATTTAAAAATGAAAAGTGTGCTAGCATTTTTTTAGGAAGTCGCATTTGCTTTGCGAACAGTACTACTTAAAAGTACAAGTGCATAGATAGTGATATATTAATATGGCAAGGAGCACGTTGATAGTATCTTTGCAATGCTGTAAAATAGAGCATTGATATTTTGTAGTTGATTGCAGTTTACTTTAGAAATAATATACTTGTTACGCTTTCAAACGTCGCTATTTTGGTATTAGTTTTGTTAAGATTTCTTTTATTATTTTTAGGTATGTGGTTTTTGACTATTTTTATTGTGAAAATGAAAAATTAAATGTTTGTGATCAACAAAAGCACTGCTGTATAATAACAATCTCTTGTAACTTTATATTAGCGTGTTCTAGAAAACACATTCTTGAAAATATTTTTGTTTTCACATAGCGGAAAAGATTCATAAAAAATAGTAGGAATAATAATTACTAGAATTAATAACTTACCTTTGACATTGATGATGAACAAAAGCGACCAATTCTTCATTGAACACTTATACTGTATGTACTATTTTAGTACAATGCAATGAAAACGCAACCGTTTCTCCTTTTAACACATTATTAGTTGCTTATAAAATGTTATCTTTAAATTTTTAATTCTTTATAGATATCAAGATACTATTGATGCTCTATTATGCCTCTTAGATTAAAGTGTTCTAGCTCCTCCAACATGTTCATAGCTTAGTTCACAAATATCGTATGTTTTCTTTTTGTGAAATTTGCGTCTTTATATTCAATAAGTAGTTCTTAACTGCTACATTATGTTGTATAAAAATTGTATTTGTGTCTACTTTACAAATTTATTTTGGTTACACACACATTTATAATTTTGCATAAAGTACCACTGAATATTTAAATATACTTTTTTGCTTCACAAATTGAAAGTGGTCATACAATATTTGTGCTAAGCTATTGATGTTAGCCTGTATAAAATTTTGCACCTATCAGTTTAGAAAACAATTGATGCTTCAACTTCATTACCTTTGATTTATTAGTTGTGTATTTAATTCATTTGCTTCATATGATGGTATCTCAAAGCTGTAAATGCTGTTTGTATGGATCAATTAGCATGTCAAAAACGTGAAGAATATTATTGGGTATGTACAAATGTATTACAAGAAATGAAAAACGCAGTTATTACTTAGGTCAATAAGTATATCATATTTCTTGTACTGCTATATTGTATTACATTTTGGGATAGATATATCCTATAATATGAAAAAAAAATTTTGTTCTTTTACTGTCTGCAGTAATGTATGTGAGATTGTTACTGTTGCAAATGGATTGACACTTTATCTAATGGTATCAAGATAAAAATATCAACTATCCACCCTAAAATTATGGAACCATCGGCATCAATATGTTAAAAATATTGTAAAAGTTTATTAATGAGTATGTCAAGATATCTGAGTTAAAAGAAAAGCATTAGAACTGATAAATTAAAAGCAACGAAGTTAAAGTATTAATTCTTTTAAGCTGAAATAGTTGTATAATTGTAAACAGGTTTACTTTCTATTACTATATAAATAAATAATAATTTTCTGGAAAAATAGTTTTATCGGTTCAGTTTTGCCTCTCACTGTATTTATATTTGGTTTCTACACGAGATGAAATATTTTTTTCATTGTTTTAATGAAATTAGAATTTTCTTATTGCGACTTGGTAATTTTTTTCTTAGAAATATTTATGTTTTAACCCGTCACACTTTGTACATCTACAATAAGGGTTTACTGCTTTATGGAACTTCTTTAAAATCACAAAGTCTCTATGATTATTAGGGAGAAAAAAAAAGAACAATGTGGTTGTATAATAATCTCTTGTATTTTCATCATTTCAAGTCACGTATTATTCATTATAGTGCATAGTCAATGTATCGCATCGTAGTATGCCAAAAAAAAAAGAAATGTATTTGTGAACTACGAGGAACCTTAAGTTAGCCAATAATATAATTATATCACACTCGAGAGTTTATAATAATGAGTAGAAAACTTAGGACGTAATTATTTTTATTGAAATTCCAAATAAGATGATAATGTCGACGTCTATTTTTGATTGTTTGTTGAGTGGCGGGTGTTTTGTTAGAAATTATATTATTTAAAATTAATATATTGATGATAACGATTATTATTTAATATCTAATATATTGGATATAGACGCTAAGTTATTTCCGATAGAATGAAAAAATATTATAATAATGTAGTATAGTTAAGGGGGGAAGGGAAAAAGCGCCCGTGATTGTTCCTGTCTGCCTGTGTACATGTACGTTTGTGTGTGCCTGCTTGTGTGTGTATGTGCGATGCGAAAACAAATAATGACGAGGCGTTGAAAGAAAATGGGACAAAAAACAGAAAAGTTGAAAACGAGAAAAAGAAACACGTTCGACGAAAAACCCGTAATACCAAAAGAAATATTGTTCATTTTTCGAAATCCTTTTAGGGTGATTTAATATATTTTATATTTATTGTTTTATTAAATACGCGGCGACAGAATCGTGTTAGTGTGTGTGCGTAGATGAGAAGCATGCGAAATATCTCCGCGCGCCGTATATTTAAGAAAACACTTGCAAAAAGGCAAAATGATCGCAAGACAGATAGAAATGTGGCGCGCGAAGATGCATCGTTTGGCACCGTTCTCACGGATCTTTTACAAATAGTTTTATATTCGTTCTAACCGCATAAGCATTTTATCAGGATAATCGAAATTGTTCAACGAGCGAGCCGCAACGCGTGTGGACACCGATGTAACTCGCATTTTTTGTCTAGTTGTATAAGCGAAACGATAACTCCTCCTCGTAGCGCAAAACGATACAAATTCAACAGAACTATAACGATGGTTAATGTGGGAACACAGAGAAAGATAAGAAAAGAAAAACTTTGCATATCCGTTCACTCTATTCTACGTAGCCGACGTAACTTCCATCGAGCGTGTAACACAGAAATTTAATCACTTTAAGTCTATAGGCGTATGTTTGTGAAGCTCTTCGAAGACTTTGCATTCGCTTTAATCAAAATAGAACCAGTTCACTAACGATTTAACTAATGGACTTTCATTTTCGCGGAGCTAGTCGAATTATTATGATTTATGCGAACGCTTGTGTTCCAAAATTGTTGATGAATGAATTTTGTATACTTTGGAGTCACATTCAAAATGATATTGTAACAGTATGAGTGTTAAGAATGTATGGGTAAAATTAAGAAAGAATTTGATAGTGTATATAAGATTGGTTGACCGTTTAATGTGAACATATGTACATTTGAGTGCAACATAAGCTTTCATCATTTGAGGGGGAATGTGGGAATGTCTAGGTTAAACTGTTTCTTCTTAGTTCTTGTGTCTCTCTTAACTATCTCTAGAATCTTGCTGGGATTTCCTTGGTGCGCTCTAGCTCTCTTTAGCTGCCCTTAGCTCTGTCTAGCTACCCTTGGCTTTTCCTGGTTTTCCCTAGCTCTTCCTGGCTCTCCTGAGGTTTTTCTGGGTCTCTGGTTCTTTTGCTGTCCTCAGCTTTTTCTAGGATCTCTTTATGGCTTGATTTAGTTCTCTCTGAAGTGTGTTGACTCTCCTTGGCTCTCCCTAATTCTCTTCGCTCCTTCTTGGATTTCCTAATCTTTCGCTGGTTCTCCAATTTTTTTGTTACTCTTTGTTTTTTGGATCTCCCTGGGAATTCAAGGATCTTTTTTGGATCTCAAGTAGATCTCCCTGAAATCTCTCTAGGATCTCCCTTGGAGATTAGTCTCTCTTAAATTATCCTTGGATCTTCCTTGGAAACTTCTTTTGAATTTTCATTGGATCTCCTTTAGCTTTCTCTTGTATTTCTTTAGGATCTCTCTTGGAGATTAGTCTCTCTTAAATTATCCTTGGATCTCCCTTGGAAACCTCTCTTGAATTTTCATTGGATCTCCTTTGGCTTTCTCTGGTATTTCTTTAGTATTTCTCTTGAAGACCAGTTTTCCTTGAATCTCCCTGACATATCCCTTAGAATTCTTTTGTATCTCCCTACCTCCTTTTGGATCTTCCTAAAATTTTCTTCATCCTGTGATAAAGATTATCGTGAGATTTCTTTTGGATCACCCTGGAATGTCTATGGACTCTGATTTCTAAATTTTCCCTAGGTTTTAAAATGGAAGGCACATATTGGGAGGCTACTTTTAACAAAAGCTTACATTGCATTAAAGTGTACTTTGTACACTGGTAATAAAAGTATTCAAGCGCAGAAGTTATTTCTGTATTTATATACGTCAGTATTTAATCAGGCCATAAACACGTTTGCTATTGCGTCTTTCATTTCCATGAGTCCATCGTCCGTAATGTAAGAAATTTTCTTGCTTACCTAATTATGCTCGTATTAATTGCTTGGAACTATAGGAATAACAAATAATTAAGTATTGCGAAAACAATAGTTAAAAGTACAATCTGATAGCTATAGCGTAGTGACGATTGCGTTAATTACAATTGTAAGTTAGTTTCGTATAATTTATGTGCACATTCGATGTTCTATCAATTTTGTATATATAGTTAAACTTTTTTTTAATTTTACCCATATGGTTTTGAGACTAGCATCTTGCAACATTATTTTGGAAATGTGACTCCAGTTTATACATTTCATTTATAAACAGTTTGAGGTGCGGTGAACGATTGTAACTGTTCGTGGACTTTTTGGGCGACCAGAAGTTGGATCATAATATTACCTTTGTTATCTGGAGAATTTTGTCAAACTGTATTCCCCTCAACGTATGTTCTTCATATTTTTGTTTAGTAGAGTATTTAGCGGGTCTTCTTCAAAATATGTGGTTGGTTAACCTAATACAGTACGTTGAAAGTTTATGAAAATCTTTTAAAGAAAAACATGTAAATATAAAATCGTCCCATTATAGTATCAAAGCTACAAGGAAGTTTATACTAAGGACATTGTTAAAATAAAAATAATTCAGTGTTTTAAGATACGTTGGATATACTATCAACTTCATATTTTTAAGAAGACCAAAAGCTATTAATTCCTTTTTTAACGGACATTAGTCAAGGTTTTGCGAATACGAGCTTTCTGAACAATACACAGTAGAGTTTGATTAAATGTCTCCACCAGCTTTTGGAATTAGATTGAACCTTCAGTATTCTATATCTAACATTAATATTAATAAATATAGTCTCATATTGGATAGCAGTATTCAACTCATAATCATTTATTAAACTTTTCTAAATATCTATACCTCTTGATAAATATCCAAATTTTTATATTGTTTTTCACTGTGGACATTTAATCATACTCTACTGTATTAGGTTGCTGAGTACCAAATGATCGGTTTTGAAATATAGAATACTAAAATTCTCATGACATTAAACTTCTTTAAAATGGCACTTATACATCGATTAAAAATTTAGTAATTACTGTCTTGTCAATATTGTTTAAAATAACTGTCTTGTCAGTAATTCTTTTAATGAAGATATAAACATTTTATCAGTATTCTTAATAATTGTCAGTAGCAAACAAAAGTTTAGAGTAAAATTTATGTACTGTCCTCTTATGAAATTTAATTAAAATATTTTTCAAGGGTAATTGTTAAAAGAGAATAATATTAACGCATGTATAAAATTACATTTAGTAATTCAAATGAAATCATGAGTTGAGTAGGCATAGATTTTATGAAAGATACTCCAATTAATGAATATTGTTTCTGACGAAGTTATTGTTAATTTTTTTTTAATGAATTGATCATTTCGTACACAGCGATCTAATAAAAGACGTATGCAATTTACGGCCGCGTAGCATTGATTTGAAAGACGAGTAGTTATCATGCTCTTACATAAAATGCCTAAGACAATTTTGATGCCGAGCTATGTCGAACAATTTTATTTTACGGTGCTTCGCAGTATTTTTATTTATTTATTTTTTATTTATCAATATGCTTAGACATGCGCAGGATATCTCTAGAAACATGAATTTTTAAATAACTATTAAGTGATAAAGGACACAAGTTACAAAAGAAACTTTCGTTTATTCATTGTTTCATTAGCGCAAAAATAGATTTTACAAAATCATGAAGAAAGCTTCTATGAAACGTTTAGAGTTTGTTTCAAATTCTTCAGAGTTTCGAAAGTTTTGCAAACTTTAAAAGTTGTGGAAATTTTATATTTACGAATTTTGAAAGTTTTGAAAATCCTGAAAATTTTGGGGCTCTTAATATTTTACCAACCGAGATTAATAGAATTTTTTATAATACTTATCGACCGAGAACCTATTAATCGGATTTTTACTGGCGACACTTATCGATTGGGTTAACGATTTGTCACTTTCTACTTTTCAGATCAGTGCAATACATACAGGATGTTACCTGTAACGCTATTTACGATTTTTCTCCCACTTGTAGCCACCTTACGAAAAAAAGTTTAGAACAATATTTGCAGGGTATGAAGTGCACAATAGAAATTAGTAAAGCAAATTTTGAAAACAGTTTGTTCTCTCGGCAAAGTCAAGGTCACCTTGAGATTTTTAAATAGGGACATACATTTTTTTCATTCATAGCATTAGAGGAAATCGAAACGAATTCAAAACACATATTACATGATATTTTTATTAACATATTACTCGATTTACAGAAGTGGAAATGTGAAGTAAAAGACTGGAATATTACGTGATGGAAGGCGGCATACATTTTGAACATGTAATTAAATAAAGTGTATTTTTCTTACATTCTAGTCGCGTGTTTACATTCAGTAATCTCTTCGGAATGAAATAATGGTTGCACTACCAAAGTCAAAAGCTGAGTACTTCACATTTCCTCTTCTGTAAATCGAGTTATATGTTAATAAAAATATTATGTAATATATGTTTTGAATTCGTCTCGATGTCCTTTAAAGCTATGAATAAAAAAAATGTATGTTCCTATTTAAAAAACCCAAGGTGACCTTGACTTTGCCGAGAGAATAAACTGTTTTCAAAATTTGCTTTACTAATATCTATTGTGCACTTCATACCTTGCAAATATTGTTCTAAACTTTTTTTCGTAAGGTGGCTGTGAGTGGGAGGAAAATCGTGAGTAGCGTTACAGGTAACACCCTGTATATTATTGCACTGTTCGCTTAAAGTGTTACATATGTAAACATAAATGTTAAAAGTTTACATACAATATTTAAAAATTTTTCCCTCTTAAAATGGATCAAATAGCAAAAATTAAAAACTGTTATTTAAATAATTTGAGAAATCAAAACCAGTTATGAACGTAGTGAATTAAATCTGCATTAGTATCGTTAGTAATGAATTATTAAGTATTCGTGCTCGAATGAGTGCAATTAGCAAAGCTAGTAAAGATTCATAAAAAATGAAGAAGGTACAACGATATGGAAATTCTAAATTTGCATCACAATTATTCCATACGTAATTACTGATAACTGCGAGCATTTATGCAATCTTTTTCGTTCCAAATAGTTTGAAGGATTAACTTGCATATTTAACGTGCTCTGAATAATTTATTACATTTTTTTAGTTATGTAATTTACGTATTTTGTGCACGTTCATAAATGCATAAATGTTCGCAGTTATCCATCATTCGACGTGAAATTAGTCTAATTCGATTTTAATGATTACGTGTTGTTATGTAAACTTTTAAAACTTAGTATTTCAAAACTTTCAAGACTTATGAAATTTTCAAAACTTTAACCTTTTAAAATTTTCGAAATTTTCAGGTTATGAAATTTTAAATAATTCGAAGTTGGAATATTATTTTGTACAAGTTGTTCACGAAAGAGAGTATTGGAAGACTCAAGATTTATAAGATTTTTAAGACTTTAAAGATTTTCAGAATTACATTAATTATTTAAATTTCTAGTATATTTGAATTGTTTAAAAATCTGCGAGAGTTTTGAATATTACTTGCATGTTTCTTCACGTCATTTATTATTTAATAATTATTTAAAGTAATATATTTCTAGGGAAGCTATATCTACAGTGCGTTCCAAAAAGAATGGTCAATTATGAAAATTTTAGTCCAATTTTTCTTCCTAGAGTTTCCTTCCTAAAATTTAACTTAAAATATTTAATTTG